GAAAAGAACTGTGATTTTGGGGAAAGGGCTAAAGCTTGGGTTTTTACAATCCAAAATTTGATGGAAGAGGGTGGTACACTGGTACTGAAGAGAAAGGGATTTATTTTGATGGAGGAGAGTGAGAGAGACTCACTGAAAGAGAAAAGAATATTATAATGGTTTTGCAGCGCGAGAGTTGGGAGGAGGAAAACACAGGTTTCAAACCATAATAAATAAATAAAAAGAAGAGTTGCAGCGTGAAAGTTGGGAATAGGAAAACGAATTAAATTAGGGCCTCTACTCTCTAAGTCGTGGAAGTTGTTAATGATTAATATTCAATTCAATTTTGGTTTTGGTTTTGATTTTGGGGCCTTGCATGTGGCGTTGTGGGGTGATATTTAATTTTTCATTTTTATTTTCATGTTTTAATTAATTGAATGCGTTGATTCGGACAAATTTGGGGCCCTTAAATTTTGGGGGCCCTGTGCAGTCGCACAGCTCGCACACCCATTGGGGGAAGCATGAACCCTAGCGTTAAGAGTGAAGCCAACCTCTTCATTGCACCAAAATCGAGAAACAATAAAGAGGTAATTAACTCAAATGTATATGTATTAAGAATATATATATATAGCTAGCTACTAATAATAAAGTTCGAATGCAATGCACAGATCACTTGGAGGAAGGACAGCATTGGAAACAAAGAATCCTGGAAGTTTTACTCGGTAGGAGATATCTTTGAAAATGGGGCTTCTTTCGTGGAAACAGGTGCCGGCAGAGCAAAGCCAAACTATAACGGAGAACAAACTTTCACAGTTGTTAATGCCAAAACTGTCCGCTCATTGACAAGGTCATCTGGTGCTTTAAAATGCATCAAAAGATCCAGATGCTAATTAAGTCTTACGCCCATCTTGCGATGTGGAGATATGATATGCATACATATATTTATAAACATGCCTGCACCTCAACAGAAATAATTAGGCTACACTCTCTGTTATATTACTAAATTCTACTTTTAACTTTTTCGCAAACATTGCATTCAACAAAATGCAGTCTTGATAAATAATAATTAGCCCCCTGATCATGTATGGCCAAATTGATCTGCCTAGCTAATAACATGTAATTAAGCAGACAAATTGTCCATATACCATAAATAAAGGGTGGAGAGAGAGGCCCCCAAATTTGTAAAGGGATAAATTGTGTTTATAAAAGGTACTAATGGGTTGGCCCTGAGGCCCCCAATTTTTCATTTTTACTTTAAGTCACAAACAGAAAACTTAAACAGCCAGACTAGAGGAGGAAGTGGGGAAACAATCTAGAAAATCCTTTTGTTGCAAGATAGCAGTTCATGATCTTTTATTAGAGATAGGCTTTAGTTATAAGATTTTTTTGTCCCTCATAAATCTCAGGATCGGCTGTGTTTAGTGGAGCAACATTCATTTCTGTATTATATATTTTGAACCCTTTGTTGTACCACAAAAGTCAATTTAATTACACACACATATATTGTTGAATACGAAATAAAATAAATGGATAACTCCATATCCTTGCACTGTTCACGTCGATCGTCTAGTTAAGCAAATCTGGAAGCCGTTCACTAAACGAGCTGAGGGAAAGAAGGACATCCGATCTTCTTTAAGCTGAGTCCATCTGATTGCAATCAATATATAAGGTTTTAAAGTGGGAATTGTACGTACGATGACCAAGAACAATAAAAGATTTCAGGAGAGTGCATGCATGGATAATTTTTCAAAGAGCTTATTCGCGATCGTGATTGTATAATAATTTTTTAAGCTTTAAATATTGAAATGTATGTATAAGAATTACCTATATGTTGTCGCAAAGTAATGAAGGAAAAGGGTAATTTGAAGGCGAGCCAAATCAGCTCCTGGACAGAATCTGGCTCCTCCTCCAAAGGGTGCAAAAAATGAGCTACTTCTCCAATTTCTTTTCTCCTACACAGAAAATATGACATACGTACATGTTTTTTTTTTAAAAAAAACATATAAAAAAGATAAGAACACCATTAACGTTTGTAATTAGAGGTCACTAACCTGATTTTCAAGGTCCATCCATCTCCATGGATTGAAAGTGAGGGCTTCATTGTACACATTTTCATCCAAATGAACTGCTGAAAGGAAGGGAACCACAAAGCATCCTTTTGGAATAATGTAGTCTACCCAAAAACAATATGACAAAGAGTTAATATACGTAAGTGGCTCGATACAAGTTGTTGGTGGACCTAACCCATTTAAGGTATTGACTTAAGGTAGGAACAATATATATGTGTGCATGGTACGTAATTTAGACAGAGTAGTGGACTCCTATATAGGACTTGCGACACAACAAATATATATATGCCTAAATACACAATTGTAAGTTTTCTTGAATACGACCCTTTCCTGGTTTTATAGATGATATGATGTCTTTATTAAGAAATTGAGAGGATGAAATATCATACACATATGCAGATATACAAAAACAGATAAAACTACGTACCTTGGTACTCAACGTCTTCTTTCGCCTCCCTCATTAACCAAATTGCAATTCCCCCAAGGCGAAGTGTTTCATCAATCACCTGTACATATTGAAGATTACTTAGGTATCTAGTACACAGACATCATATGCTATCAATGAAAAAGGATAATTACAATTGTAGCCCTAAGTTAATTGCAGAATATTGTTTCAGGTTGGAGTCTTCTTTTATTTAAATTAAAGTTGAGGAAAGATTAAAAATCTCGAATATGAAATCACGGCTTACACATTGAGTAAAAGACATTGCTTTATAATCCTGCCATGTAAGCATTTCTTCTGCAACAAATTTGCCTCGGAGACTGTCTTGTTCATCCTGTCATGATCATAATTTCTACATCAAGGGATCTTAATTACAAAGAGAAAGGATAAGATATTTTGACAGTATTACATGTTTAGATTAATTGAGATATATGTGATTTGAGTGACCTTACTTTTAGGGGCATTCTACAAGAAGTAAATAACAAGTAGAGCTTCAACAAAATATGCATATATGGTCATGACTTGCTTCGTATTGTCTAAGAAAATTAGATTACAATATGCCCTCATTAATTAGCAGCAAAAACCGTAAGACGACCAGGAATGGTAAAGTTAAGTATAAGTATACCACCAATTGTTTCATTGCTCTGGGACAATGAGTAAGGAAATAGACTGCAAACAGCATTGTTTTAGCAGTCGTTTCATTCCCAGCAAAGAGAAGATTGATAATAAAGTCTGCTACAGCTTCATCAGGTAAGCTTTCTTCCTCCAATAATCTCCCAAGCACACCATTACCAACTTCTGTTGCGCCTTGTTCTCTGTAGTTTTGCATTATCCTATTTATCTTGGTTATGATTTTTCCCCTAGCCTGCGAAACCATTAATTACACATTGATTATCACATTTGTAAAATTTAGTTACTTACTAGTTTGCATGCATAAAGAATCAGAAGAAACAGAAAAAAAAACAAAAACAAAACAAATAAAAAACAAAAAAAAGAGCTTCAATTGAGGGATTCCTTCATATATAAGCTTATTTATTTGAGGGACCTTGTAGGTGACAGATCATATATAATTCCAGTGGAAAGTTAATTATATGTACGCACCTTCATCGCAGTATGATAAGCAAAACCTCGAAAGTTGATTGGAACAGAGAGACAACCATCAACGAAGTCGGAGAACAATTGAGCCATCTCATCAATCTCTGACTCGCTCGACACTCCCAAAAGTTGATTAACCATTAGATTTATAGACACCTGCAGCATGGTTATTATTTAGGTACGCGATGGAGGAGAATCCTGAAAATCAATATCAGAGGTTGGAACTTGTTACCTTTCTACAAACATCCTGGAGAAGTATTACTTGATTGCTTGGAAAATTGCTCAAAGTTTGAGTCATAACCATTTGAACATTTTCCAAGAAATTAAATTTGAGTTTCTCTAGACGCATCATGTTGGAGGCGATTCGATGGAGTTTCCTTTGTTGCTCTCCATGCACCGTTATCACACCATTTTTCCCTACCAAATCTTTGAAAGATTTTGGATAACTAGACTGGAACAGTTTCCCTTCATTTTGCATTACAAACCGGTTAAAGGTTGGGTCTGCTGATACCACAGACCATTTTCCAAACAGACTGCATGAGAAAATCTTCCCAAACCTGTTCAAAATTAAACACAAAGCTGGCATTAATTATATATAGCCAAACGTTCCAAATTGCAGACTGCAGTAGTAGTGCATACCTTTTGACCTGTTGTTCAACAAAGTGAGGGGGATGGGAACTTGCGACCGCATTGTACCAACTGAAGCTGTTCCCAACTATTGGCCAGCCTCTTGTCCCTGGTGGAAATTTGTATGTGCTTCTCCTGATTACCACCTTGTTTCTTCTCCTAATTAATTTCGCAAGAAAACAAATGAACAATAGTGTCGTCGAGATCAGAAGCAGGCTGCTCGCTGTGAAAAAGTCTCCCACCATTTCCTATCAGAGCTAGAGAAATTAATAGATTCGGAGGAAGGAGGAAGGAGAGATCAGCTCAAACCTCTCTGCCAGCCAGAAATATTTATCGTTGACGGTAATTAACTTGAACATATATATATATATATATATATGAAGGGAATTCAACCACTAGTCTAGTACAAGTTACAAGTTACAAGACAACACAAACATGATTATATTTATTATTAAAATAAAACAAGAGTAATAATTAATCATTTAGTTGCTGAGCAGGCATCGTTGACGGAACCACGTCGAGTTACACTTACAGAGGAGAAATTAGATTGTCATCATCCCTTAATATATTCATAGTCTAGCAGAGGAGGAGAGGAGGCACCCCCACCCACCCCCAATCATGATTCATCATCAGTTTTCTAATGATTATCAATTATTATTATATCTGCTCCATCGACTCTAACTGTTTATTCTTTTCTTAAAAACTTGGGAGCCACATGGGTAGAATTCTGGAATGTCCCCTTTTTTGGGGTGCATTATAAGTTTCAATATATATATTAGCTTGTTCAACTGCAAAGGCATGAATCCAGGTGAGGTGAGTCGTACGTCGTCAAGTTTAAGAGATCCTAATTAACGCAATTAAGTTTGACCACTTGCTCTGTTTATGTGTGTATATATTTTATTCGTATGAACAATCAATAATTATATTGCCACCTTTAAGTCTTTAACACATTTCCAAGCGCATAATCATTCGCCCCCCCAAGTTGTAAGCTCGAGACTCACTTTCTTTGGCTTGGCAGCTCTACTTAATACAAATTATATCAGCTTTGAGCAACGGAACCTTTTATTTGGCTTAAATATTGCGACTTTAAGTTTTAGGTAGGACAAACTTGTCAATTCATCCAAGAATCAAGGTCCTAAATTTGTGCCATGATTTATCAAGAGGGTGTGGAAATGGTCCTTAGATCGCAATTATATATGCCAGCAAAAACCAGCCAAGAATGCTTCTTTCGAGTAGCACACAACCCATTCCCGAGCTCTCAGCTTACCACTATTGGTTAATATGATCCAACAGTTAAGAGATAAAACCTTACCTAAAAAAAAGACCCTTATATATATCCATAGAGGCAGTCCGAAAGAAAGCCCAGCACTTGGCTATCCAAATTGAAAAGTTGGATTAATCTGGGTAGCTTTTGGAGTCTTAGTGTGGGTCAAAGCTTACTGGACTGTACTAAAGCCCGCCCAAGGACCACGGGCCGAAGACTTGTAACTTGTAACTTGTAACCGTAGAGAAACAAAATTTGTAAAAATATATATTTAATAAATCTACTAGTCGGGGGATCAGCAGAACAGAAGAAGCATTTCAAGGTTCGACATAAGAGAAGAGAAGAGAAGGCAGCAGAGGAAGCTCAACATGTCAGTCTTTGTTGTGAATTTTCCTTGCTGTGCACTGGTGAGTGAATCCCACCTGAGGCTTAACTTGTCCTTTTCCTATTCTTCATCTATCTATTGATCTGGTGTTCCAGCCAGTATTTATTTATGATTTATGAAAAATTCAAATTTGG